TCACTACCCTCAATCACGACTTCCCGGTAGGTAGAGGGCCTCTTCTTCTCCCTCGGATTGTTGGAGGTTGGGGTCTCCCTGCCTCTCTTGTTGTTGGTAGTAGTGGAGGAAGAAGACCCAGCGTCTTTTTTGAGTGTGGGGTCAATTTCGTGAAGATTGACCCTCTTCACTCTGTCCCCCCCCTCCGAGTGGTTGGGGTAGAGGGGAAAACCCTGCTTCCAGACGCAGCGGCGCTGGTGGCAGTTGTTGCTGTAGTGGTTGGAGCCGTGATGTTGGTGGTGGTTGTGGCGGTGGCAGTGACGTCATCGTTGGATTTGGGGGCAGAAGGCACACCCCCAGCCCGCAGCTCCTTCGCGCGCCGCCTCCTCGCCCTCCTCCTCACCGTACGGTTGTTGGCACTGGTGGCGATTTGGGATGGTGGCAATGGTCCATCTCCATCGCCCCCCATCTCCATCGCCTCCCCCTGGCCTCCACTCACTGCATCCGCAGAGGGGAGATGCGCCTCATCCGAGAGGAGTGACTCCTCAACCTCGGAGGGGAGAAGTAAGTCTCCCTCTTCGCCCTCAGGTTTGAGGATCTCCTCCTCCATCTCCTCCTCTCCTGCTGATTTCCTGGAGAGAGAGGTGAGTAAAATAATGTAGGACAGCCATAAGCCCACAAAATTTGGGCTTATGGCTGTCCATATAATTGAAATTATATAATTAATATAAATATATGGGTTGCAAAAGGGAGGAGGTCGGAGATGAGGACTTTCTCCACACATTTCGTGTGGAGAAAGTTCTCCCTCGCTCCCACTCTCCCTCCCCCATAACCCAATACTTTCCTGGGAGCAGGCACTTCCTCCCATGTCAGGGTGGGTGTAGCACACTTCACTCACCTCGACATGGTGTCCAAAATTTATTTTTTGTAAAATAACAAAAAAAAACTGGGCAGAATTTCCAGATGCTGCTCCTTTGAGCTTCGCGGTGTATTCTGGTGTAATTGCATGCGCTTGTCTTACGAGATTAAGACTTAAATAAATTACTTTGTTTTGTGTCACAATTCCAAATATTTTCCATATGCATGGTAGTCGTTCATTTGCAAGATTTGTCTCATTTTGTATCCATCATCCGACAGCAGCGTTGTTTTAACCAGCATCTCACAAATTGTATTTCAAAATGTGCAAATCTTTCATATTCTTAATACTGTTATTTGCTCCTGCATTTCACGGCCTGACAGTTTATCCAAAGCTTCAAAAATGCGAAAATTTGCCTTGTGTGATTTGCGTTCAGCAACCAAATTGTATCTTTGTCCAATTATCAGATAATTCGCTGGATTGCATTCAGGACAGCGAACTCTTACTACTGCGTACAAGAAAGACGGCTCGGACCTCATCACGTTGCGAGAAAATAGGTACGCCTTAATGACCAGTTTTTGGGACAATTTGTTACATTTTATTAACACATGACTATTAATTTAGGTATATCAATATTACATAATTTAGATAATACATTAGACATTCACATCACATACATGACACATATATACATTTTATTCATATGGGGAATCGGTTTTTTGAGGAAATTTGCTGGTTTAATTATCAATTTCACGTCGCATTATAGTCGACTTCTTTTTTTACGCCTTTTAATTTGCAACCTCACTGCAAATTCAGCATCTCCATTAACCATTCTAGGAAAATCTCTGTAAAAACATAATTGCATTTAGTACATTGCATAATATAATAATTATATTTTGTAAGAACCTGAATTTCTCTTCAGGGGCTCCAGTCGCAACGGTGACATTGACCACAAAGACCTCACCAGCAACAACCACAACGGTGGCGACGACCACAACGACGACAACGGTGCCGACGACCACAACGACGACAAAGGTGCGGACGACCACAACGACGACAAAGGTACCGACGACCACAACGATGACAACGGTACCGACGCCAACTACGACCACACCAACCACCACTCCACAGACGACAACAATCAGTTTCCCAACAGCGACACACGTCACAACTGGCACAATTACGTCGCAAATTGATCTTCCACCTCACTTTGTCTCACCGTCATCGTCACAACCAACTAAAACTCTAACTTATGGTGGATAATTATCCTTATGTATCATATCTATTGAATAAATGTAATGTAGTGCATAATATTATTTGGTAGGATCTGAAGTTAACAACAACTCACTGCAAACGCCTTCTTCGCCTTCGCTCGTCGAGGATCCACCATCTCCCACAATACCCCCAACCGCCCCAACTAGACAGCCACACCTCCCGAAGGAAAATTGGAACATTACTAATTTTACACTTAAGTCACTTTCTCCAACTCCAAAAACTACAAAGTTAGTAAATCCTCAACTTCCTGCAATTCCAATCCCACTTAACCTCAGCAGTGAATTCACGTGCAATTATGTTAATGGAAAATTTGTGGAGGAGGAGATATTGAAATTAGAGAGAATACTCTGCCGAACCTACAAGATTGTTCACAACTATACGATGACCCACCCAAATTTCGCGTTGAGGGATTGGAACTACATGAATCCTATGAGTTTGAGAAAACTGCGGTGCAGATTTCTCATCCGAAGAAATAAATTCTGCAAGAAACAAAGGCAACATTTTGTACTCAACGCTACATACATGCATATGTACATATTTTTAAAAGTTTACAATACCTTTCTTAGTCGGTCTCATCGTAAACTTCCTCATCTGAACTGGCAGTTCCTTCATAAATAAAGCCATTATTATTTTTATTAATTTGCGTACATAATAATAAATTGATTTACAGATATTATTACCAGCTTCAAGAGTAGGTTTTTGAATTTTGTTGTCCAGCTTTCTTTCATACTCTGTCTCTATTTCATCCAAAATATTTTTTAGTGACGCACTAAGTTCTTTGGCGACCCCAATATTCAAGGTGATGGAGGGACCAATCCACTTTTGACTTGTCTGTTTTGGGCAGCAAATTTTAATTGAATAAGTCCCTGCAGAATTTCGAAACTGACGAATTTTCAGGTTGGAGATTTCTAATGTATGCTTTGGTGACCAAAAATCTTGATCGTTTTTCTCTTCTATTTTGGACTCAGGCGAATTGGCAAGTCTTGGAACCAATTTATAGAACGGAGTAGAGTCAATCTCACCTATTAATTTGTCTAATATGCCAATAAATTTGTGTAGTTCGTAGTCCGACACATTAATATAACTCGGGTCAAGAGATACATCCTTATAGTTATTAATTTTTTTGATGCAGACCATGGTTTGAGATTTTGACTCAACAAAATGTTTTTTTACAAAAATGTCCGTGCCAATTTTGATGACATCTGGACTGTCAAAGAACTCGGGGTTTCTCTCTGGGCAGTAAAAATCTAACAAATTCGGAGTTAGCTCATCTCTAAGTCCATCGATAGATGGTTTATGAATTATTCGTGAACGGCGAAGAAACTGCACGTCGTTTAGAAACATGTCATCCTGTGTCTTGTTCAACTTTTTTGCCTCTGGGAAATACGGGACGAGTTCGGAAGAAAGGTCCCGTGAAAATTTACTTTGATTCATAATTCGTTCGTGTAGTCGACACAATTCTTGTAATTTTGTTGCTTTAATATCACTACCAGCACTGCTAATTCTGTATGAGTCCGGGTGTAGTTAAATAACAACTGAGGCAAATAATCTGAAAACTGGCTTATATATGCCCGTTGGGATGCCGGTTGCGGAACTTACTAGACAGAATTTGTCAAAGAACGAGTCAAATATTTTCATCTTAAAACCTATTAGAAAAGTAAACCTACACAAATGAGAAGGGAAGCGAACCGATGCCGAAGAGGAAAATCAAACAAGTCTGTGGAAGTCGGAAAAATGAACGAGGAAAAATAAATCGTCCCAAATTTCATGTGAAAAGAGGGGACTCGTGTGAAAGTGGGCTTTTCCACAATGGAGCGTAGAGAGTAATCATAACTCTCTCTGCTTCGCGAACTGTGCCTTCACATCTATCCGCTTTCCGTACCCTGCCTTTCACATTACTCTCTCCGCTTGACTTAGGCTGACTTTCACACGCGGAAATAATAATCACCACGACACGTTCGAGTGGACTGAGGGAATGAAACATTTGAAATGAGGAGGAAAATCATGGGAACGAGAGAGCATACTATCAGTGTGAAATTGAAAAAAAGAGACGCTCCCGTGAAATGCAGTTCTATGCCATTTCAAATCCAGAATGACGAGGTTTGTGGGAAAGTTTGAGCGTGAATCGGGAGTAAAAGGTTAAGAGCATTTGAAACGGAAAGGAAAAATCGTGAGAACGGCAGATGATAATATCTGCATGAGAGAAAGGACTCCGTTGCTCATAAATACGGAAACTGTATGTATAAAGTACTGAAGCGCTGGAATTAGCAACTATAAAAAGGGTCTGCTCACAGCTATACAATTCAGTACGATTTTGACAGTGCTACTGTTAACATCTCTAATAACCTTCTAAAAGTTTGAAAGTAAAGTATAGCTCCAGTACTTTGAACCATCCTCGTAAGTACTTGGAACGCCATTTTCCAATCTGACTTAGTCGCCATAAAACCCGTTTATCGGTGGTCTTCAGTGCGATTTTACCAGCTTAACTCACTCCAACCATACTTCCAAAGTGTGTCGCGGTAAAGTTGTCCTGCTCCTCTGGCGTTGGTGTTTTTCGTAATTTAAAAGAACATAACATTTCCGACCTCAAGCAATTTTTGTCAACTCATATTATTCTCCTGCATTATCTCAAAGTGAATTTGGGCATTTCAACTACAACTCCGAAAATTAAGTTGCATGAACCTTTGCATCATCCTCGTAATCTAAATGCAACTGGGTAGGTCTCAGTTATCGCATCATTGACAGCTACACGTGCGTCGTGTTTTGAAATCGGTGCTCTGTGTGGCGCAAACGACTCCAGTTTCGAATTGATAAGCCTTTGGCTCTGATCGTAGGTTCATTGCAAACTTAATTATCTGTAGTTTTGTAGTGTCCGAAGACGCAAAGAGATATGTTTGGAGATTTGGGTGAAAGGTTCGTCGACCGAACCCATGACTGGTTTGAGGACAGTGCCGTGTTTCCTAAGTCTTGTCGGGAATACCAGAAGTTTATTGATAAGACGAAGATACAAAGTTATGACTTTGAAAAGGCGACTCCAATGTGTTGGAGTCCACCTACAAAGTCACAAAAAAAAGTTCTACAAACCGTGAATAAATTTTTAGATCTTCCGAATTATGAGCAACTAGCCAGTCCTCTTAAATTGCTGATTGTCGGTACCGCTGGTAGTGGCAAATCTTGGGTTATCGAAGAAATTGTCTCTGCTTTTCGGGCCCGTGGGAAACAAAGCCTCATCACTGCAGCCACAGGACCTGCCTCTCATCTAATAGGCGGCGTTACTCTGCATAACGCATTTTCAGTTCCTTTTTTGAGGGATGAAAATTGGGAAGACCTGACCGCTAAAACAACACCGAGTGAAAAGTTGATTTCAAGGCTTCGAGATGTAGACTTGCTGATTATTGACGAAGTTACATTGCTTGGGGCAGGATTTCTAAATTTTATCAATAAACAATTACAACTGTGTCACGATGTTCTTCAGCCGTTTGGACATGCATCCGTCATATTGGTGGGTGACATTCCCTCGCAAATCCCACCCATTGGGGATGTGGCTCTTTATAGGGATCCTTCCAAATATAATAAATTCATACAGGACGGAATTTCACTCTACCTGGGTTTCAAGAATATCATTGTTCTGCGAGAGAAATTATTATACAATCTACGACGAAAACAAATTGGCCCGTATGACATTCAAGTTCTCCGAAGTCGGTTGGAAAAAAATGTTGATCCTGATATCCTTCTGAACGAATTTAGAGATTGTTTACGTATATTTCCACGCCGAAGCATGTGCAATGCTTACAATCGTCAGAAAATATTGGCGGAGGGGATGCCAGTGATTAAGATTGGAGTGAAACAAATTCCTTCGTCACCTCAAATGCAAGATTTTGAACCACTTGTTCTGGGGAAAGGGGTGAAAGTAATGTTAACCCGTAATCTTGACACAAATCGGGGGTTAACTACTGGAGCAAGGGGAGTGGTTCGAGGCCTGCTATGGGATAAGAAGAAGACACCGGGAAATGATATACCATCCGTTATTTTAGTCGAATTCGAAAAGAAAGTGTTCGGACCAAGAATTGAGAATAATTGAATTCCTATTGGACCGTGCGTTGAATTTTTCCATTGTCGACTTACCGACAAAACCTACAAGATTGAGTCCTTCCCACTCAAGGTGGCTTATAGCGTCACGGTCCATTCCATCCAAGGTCAAACTCTGGACAAAGTTTGTGTTTATTTAGACACGCCCTTCGCTGAAAACCTGGACTATGTAGCGCTATCAAGAACACGGTCAATTGAAGACATTGTTCTGCTAGATAAAAACGTTGACCTAGAAAGGTTCCGGAGCATGAGTTTTTATAAAGGAATAGCTCAACAGCGCCAGGAGATGAAACGACTCGGTATATACAAAGATGTCGTTGGAAGCGATTCTGACAGCTCTGATGAAAGCTACGACAAAGAAGACAGCAGTGCCGACGAGCAACAGGAAGTTGACCAACCTGACGACGCGGACATTGAGTTGCCTGACAGTCTAGTCGATAGTCAATTGGAAAATTTTCAACAAGATTGGATTCCGGATATCAACCAACAGCCGTTTTTACCACTTGAGAGCGTTGTATGTGTATTAGAGGAAGATCGGACGAAATACAGACAGAAACACTTTCATTAAAGATCTCATTGAACCCGAGTTGGAATCTGTAGCAGTAAACGAACCAGAAGTCATAACCAGTCCTCCTATAGCCAGTCACTCTCTTCAAGAAGCTCTCGAAAATTGCGAGCCTACCTCCAATGAAGATGTTATTGAATATCCGCTGATTGCTTCAAGTCATCGAGGTCGGACCGACGAGACAACCCTCGGTCAAATTCCAGACTTTCTAAGCTTAGGATTATCAGAGTCTGCTAATGACATCATTGCAAAGTTCTTCACAACAGCAGATGGCGAAAAACTGATGAAAATCTGTGAACAATTTCAACAGCAAGTAGTGGGAGAGCCAATTTCACCATCATTGGAAACTCCCCGGGACTCCCCAGAGCCCCCCCCTACTGTCTGGAACGGATAATATGACCCATGCAAGAGACCCCAGATTAGATAGCGTGTGGTACAATAATCAGGATTTACGCAGAGACTCTGAGGATTGTACACTGGTGTCAGATGTCCCTGCAACTCATGCATTAAATATGGAGCTTGATCCAACTCAGCCTTCCTCAACGGAAACGGATCCGTATTTCTCGTTTAATATGCAAAATCTCGCCGATGCCTATGTCAGTCCCATCGCAGCAGCCTCAGAAGAAGGACCAGATTCATTCTACACACCACCTATGGATATCGACGAGATTGACCAGATTCTTGCGGAGTTGGGATATTACGCGTCGCCACAGGCTGATAAATAAATTAAGTCATCATGGCTGAACCAATTGTATATAAACGCCCTCATATTGAGTACTACGCCAAACCAGACACTGCTAGACTCTCATATAGAGGTAGGACATTTGTTTGCTCTATTCCAACGTGTGCAAAAACATTTCAAACCATGAAAATGTGGGAGGAACACGATGAACTTTTTCATCGGTAAGTGAAAGTTTCTTTGGTTTTATTCTTTGCTCTTTTGTTCCTTTCTTTCCATTGCTAAGTATTCAAATCGTATTTCAGCTGTATTTGTGGTCTCACATTCGTCAATCTCCAGGCCGAACACACTTGCATGTTTAGACAGACCGGAGAGGGGCGCAAGAACCTTGTGGAGGCATCAAGGAACTTACAAACTGAAAAGCTAAAATTAGATCGTGTTGTTCATCGTGGTAGCGTACTTGTATTTGTAACTAAATTCAATGATGTAGTTTTGGAATCGTTTAGTGACACTTACGATTATATGTACAGTAGCTTAAGTAGTGTGATTACACAATTATTACATCATCTTAAAGGAATTAAAGTATCAATAAGAATATTTGCGGATCTACAAGATCTTCACTCAGATGCAGTCATTAAAGACCGTGAATTCTTTACCCCATATATGCGTGTAGTTCATGACAATTTCATCATGGAAACTATCCTGCTCTCTGCTACATATGCAATAAAATCTCTTAATCTCTTCCAACTTAATGGTAGTGGCTGGGCGCTCACGAGCATTAAAAAAATGGAGGTCATCATTTGCCAATACACACCTGTCAGGCCACATTCGTACATAAAGACCCCAAAGTGTCTCAAGAGAGGAACAATTTATAATATTCGCTGTCAGACTGATTGTTTCCTTCTGAGTGTGCTATGTTCAAAATTTAGATCCGAAATTCAATTACCAGATTTGCCTGGCTTAAAATTTGAGAACATGACAAAACAGCAAAAACAACGGGTGAAAAATTTTTATCAAAATCCTAGTTCATATGCTCCGATAATAAAGAGACTTTTGCAGGAGAATGAAATAAATATTGCTCCATTCCTGAACTCACCAATCCCATTAAATGAAATTGATAGATTCGAAGAACTTGTAGGCATAGGAATTACTGTTTGGCGAAATGAAGGAAATCACACAAATTTATTACTTCTTTTAGATGATCAAGATAGATCTCACTATGCATGTATACCAAGAATTTCGCACTATTTAGGTCAGAAAAATAACAAGCTTAGGAATTTCTGTATACACTGCTGCAAACCAATTGGTTTAACCATCACTGATCATGAATCAAAATGCAATCGTTCTGTGGAAAAAAAATTGTCGTTAGGAAAAGAAACGCATGTTAAGTTTTCTCATTTTTCTGCACTTCAAGATTTTGCATTCAAAGCATTTTATAAAATTCAATGCTATAATGTACCGATCGAGGAGCCAGATGTTGAAAATCCTGATGACATGAAATACTCCAATAAAGTGGCAGACTTATTATGCGCATCTTACGGAATAGTTGTCGTTGGTCCTTCGAATGAAATAGTTTTCGAGAAAGTTTACGATGGTCCGAATGTAATGGAGGATTTTTTTACAGAAGTATTTAGAATACAGGAAGATGCATTTCAACTTTTGAGGAATTTCATGGTTCCATTAAGACCGTCCCGCACAGACAAAGACAACCACAGTGCTGCAAAGACATGTCCAATTTGCCAACTTCCATTTGATAAAAAGAGAATCAAAGTCTATCACCACAACCATCTTATACCCGGCCAAGAAATATTAATCTGGTGCGGATTATGTAACATAAAAGCAAAACAAAAGGCTGTAGTATTTATAGGGCACAAAACCTCTCATCTTGATTCTCATGTCATACTAAACTCCTTGAGGCCTGAACTAGTTCGGGCTGCAACAATTTTAACCAAAGGTTCCAATGAAATAATTTCACTCACAATTAGGCCCTCTCAAAGCTCAAAAGCCCGATGTAGGTTCATTGATAGTCATCGTTTCATGCAAGAGGAGATGAAAAATCTTGTTGCTCAACTGAAATCAAAAAATGTTGGTCAGGTCTTATCTAGTCGGTTCCCATTAATGTCATGTTCTCTACGGCTTTCCCAGGGTATTCTAATTTAGAAATCCTTCTCGCCGATCACTATTTTCCGTATAAATATTATACAGATGCACAAGTCTTAAAAGACTCAGAGCTTCCACCCATAGAATTATTTCATGATGAGCTGACGGATGAAGGATTGACAAATGAACAATACAGTTTTATGAAAGAAATCTTTCGAAAGTATTGTAGAACACTTGGGGATTATGCCGAATTATATCTGAGACGCGAATGCTTTTTGCTAGCAGACATTTGCATAAACTACAACAAAAACGGTTTCCAAAATTTTGGATTGTATCCTTTCCACTTCACTGGTTTGCCCGGTTATGCATACTCCTCTTGCTTGCTAAGTATGAAAGAAAAATTCCAAAAAATTCCTTCCATAGACATTTACAATTATATAAAATCCGACGTAAAAGGCGGAGCATCGATTTCGTGCACACGATTTGCAAAAAGCAATTCCGAACGACTAGGTTTAGGATCATTCAATCCGCAAGAACCAAGAGTAGAACTTCTATTTTTGGACTGCATTTCAATGTACCCAACACAATTACTTAATTATCTTGCATTTTCTGACTACGAATTTGTTCCTAGTTCTGAACTGGAATTGCTTAACATAGGATTACTGCCTGAAAATACAGGAGTAGGATGGATATTTGAAGTTGATATTTCATACCCACCAGACGAGAAAATGATGGACCGGGATAACTACTTTCCATTAGGAATTTCACATCGAGAACTAAGGAGTAGAAGGTCACTACTTGTCGGGCCCCGATTTCGATCTCCTTTGGATATGTTGTAGTACTACATGAGTGTAGAAAAAGTGAAGGAGGGTGAGTGAGGAGGAGTGAGGAGTGAAGTCGAAAATTTTCTGACCAAGGGTATGTATTGAAAAAAATCGAAATTTCAAAAAAATTGAGTTTGCTATTGGATATGATAGAGCAACTATCTGGGATCACAAAAATGTAAATTTCTTGAAAATCTGACCAAAACCCGATTTTTGGCGATAAATTTAGTGTGGCAACTCTGGGGGTTTGGGCGCCTTTGAGGGGGTGTGGCGGGCGTAAATGGGCTCATGGACTCTAACCCTCCTTCACTTTTTCTACACTCATGTAGTACTACAACATATTCAAAGGAGATCGAAATCGGGGGCCGACAAGTAGTGACCTTCTACTCCTAAGTAGGGACGATTTGAGTGAAGACCAGAAACGAATTTTCGATCGAATGGCAAAGTCAAATGATAATCCGTTTAATATAAAAAGATTGTCAATGGACTTTCATCCCAAGCTGGGTCTTAAAGTTTACTACACACTGCTCAAATATTATATTGCTCGTGGACTTAGGATAGATCGGGTAATATCTGCACTTAGGTTTACAGAAAAACCATTTTGTAGAGAGTTTATAACACATTGTATGGCTTTGAGAGAAGCGGCAGCTGCCGTTGATGATAAGGTTAGCAGTAAGCGTATTAAAGGAATTGGAAACTCTATATTTGGAAAGCTTCTGTCGGATTCATCAAACTACACCGATTCCAAAGTTTGTGTATCTCGAGCCGACGCAATATCTCAAATTAAAAAACCTACATTTAAAAACTTGGTAGTTTTGAATGAT